AAAGAGGTCTTGTTCCAATAAGAACAAAGGGAAAAGAGATGGGTTTGTTCCATCTTTATCACTGATCTTGGTCCTTTCTTTGTCTAAATCTCCCTCTTCTTCCCACACTCCTTGCAATAGATAGCATCTAGAAGGAAAAGAGTTTCCAATTGCTGTTTCTGTTTTTGTTAATGCTGAGCCCTCTCCTTCAGAGAAGAGGTTTTAGGTCTAGGGATGGCAATGGGTAGAGTACCCGTGAAAATTTCCCTTCCCATTCCCAAACCCGTCTAAGCACCCTTGATCCCAAACCTATTTAATTTTTCCTCCCAATTTCCCAAACCCATTTTGTCCTATACCCATTAAAACCGTCCTATCCCAAACCCATTATCAGGTAAGTGATTTGTAATGTCCCTCTTAAGAAAAAATGGTGTGGTAAGCTAGTGGTGAAGATATCTATAATGAGGCACAAGGGGAAGGATTTGAATCATCTCTTAACCATATTTAATTCTTATAAAACATATGATATATATTTATTAGGGTTTGACTATGATACCATAAGAACTTATAATCAATCAACTGGTATCATAAAAGTGGTAACAAATTATATGCTTTATATTAAAATTGATGGGGGGTTTTGAGTCAAAGCTCTTCCAACATCATGTCTTCCCGGCATCATAGATTTTCCCATACTTGATAATACATACACAGGTTTTTGCTAGATTGAGGAGAGGCTTATCTGGGGTTGGAGTTAACAAGAGGGTGAAGAACTCAATCAACTGGTATCATAAACATGGTAACAAATTAGGTGCTTTTTATTAAAATTGATGGGGGGTTTTGATTGGTCAAAGCTCTTCCAACATCATGTCTTCCTGGCATCATAGATTTTCCTATACTTAATAATATTTACACAGGTTTTTGCTAGATTGAGGAGAGGCTTATTTGGGGTTGGAGTTTACAAGAGGGTGAAGAAGACAAAAAGAGTCATGAAGAGAAAAAACGGGGTTAGTGTTTCATTTGATGAAGGGCTAAAGTGATTGGATTTTGTTTTTCTGTTTGGGTAGGGGAAGTGAAGGGGTTTTGTTTTTATGTATTAGGGGGCTTGTTAGGGGCTTTGTTTTGGGCTTTGCCTGTGGTTGCTTGTGAGAGTCTTGTTGGGTCTGGTTTTGTTTTTCTTTTGGGGTGGTTTGGTTGTTTTTTGGTGTAGGGTGATGCCTTATCACCTTTTGTAATCCTTTTTCCTTTGCTTATTAAATTTGGTTTTTATTTACCTTCAAAACATTCATGGGTTGATAATCAAGTAATGAGAGTGGGTACCTATGTTAGATATAATAGGGCTTGAGTATCAGGTACCCTGGGGATAAAACCCAAACCTGTCTCAAACCCTTAAGGGTTTTAATCTAAAGTCCCAAACCCATTCAAAACCCTATAGGATTTTGATAAATGGGTCCTATTGGGGTTGGGTACCCAAAAATTCCTACAAACTTGCCATCCCTATTTAGTCTGCAGAAACGAAGAAGATGAAGTACCTCATCTCACACTCACACCTAGAGGCATCCCTCAAACTTCTCTCACTCTATGTATAGAGGGTGAGGATGGTGTTGGTGGTGGCTATTTTCTATCAAACCAAATACAGCCTTATCTACCAAAAAAGTAAAGAAAGCAAATGCAGCATTGGTTCAAAGTATAATAGCAATGCTAGCAGAGAAGTGAGTGCCTCCTGTTCTTCTCCTTGAAACTTGGAAGGTCAAAGAAGTGAAATGAGGAGAAAAGAACCTTCAGGCTTCAATGTTGAAGTTCGAAGATGAATTGGTAAAGATGCCAGACCCCCAAAGTAGAATGGTGAAGAGAGATTGAGTTGCTGAGAGAGTAAACAATGTAGAAACTAGAAATCCCTAGACCTAGGAAGATGATTTGAAAACTTGAAGTTCAAACCTCTTTTATCTTTTAGTTTCTGTTATGTAATTATTAATAAAAGGATGCTAGACAGGCTGGAAGAAGAAGGGATATTTACTAGGGAGGCCCAAAGGGAGAGAGAGTGCCTGAAGGGGGAATTGGAAAGGATCATTCTAAAGGAAGAAATAAGTTGGAGACAGAAACTGAGGGCCTTTTGGCTCAAAGAGGGGATAAGAATACAACATATTTTGATGTGTTTGCAAGTGCGAGAAAGAGAAGAAATCTGATCACAAGAGTCAAAGTAGGAGATGAGTTACTGGAAACTTTGGGAGGGGATTCAAAGGAAGATCATGGTGTTTTACAAAGGTCTTTACAGGGAGAGAGGGTAGAGTTGGGTGGCTCTTGGGGGGTTGGAACCAAAAAATTAAGTAATTTTTCTGCAAATTGGTTGGAGATGGAGGTTAGGATTGTAGAAATCAGAGAAGCTCTTAAAAAGATAAATGGGGACAAAGCACCAGGGATGGATAGCTTCAACTTCAATTTTATTAAGGCTGGGTGGAGTTTTTTGGAGGAAGGTTTCACTCAGATGATAAAGGAGTTCTGTGATTCAAAAATCTTGGACAAAAGACTTAATGCAACTTTCATTACACTAATTCTAAAGAAGGATGGTGCAGTGGACATAAAAGATTTCAGACCAATAAGTCTGATTAGCAGCCCTTATAAACTTCTGTCCAAGGTGTTATCCTGGAGGCTAGAGGGAGTAATTCATGAAGTGATAGGAGAAGCCCAAATGGCTTGTAAAATTGACGTGGAAGGTAGGTAAATCTTGGATGGGGTGTTGGTGGCCAGTGAATGGGGCTGGTTTGTAAAATTGACGTTGAGAAAGCGTACGATCATGTGGAGTGCTTTTTATTTTTTATTTTGGAAGAAATGCAAAGGTTAATGAGGTTTGGGGAGAGGTGGAGAAGTTGGATGTTTGCATGTGTCTCATCTGTCTCCTCATTACTTATTAATAGAGTCTCTTCAAAATTCTTTCATGTTTCTAGAGGTCTCCGACAAGGGGATCCAATCTCACCACTATTGTTTGTATTAGTCCTGGAAGTGCTGAACTTGCTCATGGTTAAGGCCATTCAGCAGGGTTGGATTGAAGGCTTCAAAGTGGGGGTGGAGGGTCCTAGCATTTCAAACCTCCACTATGCTGACGATGCTCTAATTTTCTTGGAAGCTTTAGTGGATCAGGCATTCAGGTGTTGAGCCTTAGAGCCATTTTGGCAAATTTAGAGATGCTCACAGGATTGAAGGTAAATCTGTCCATGAGCTTGCTGGTTGGGGTGGGGGAAATAAGGAGGGAGGAGATGGATCAGTTTGCTGCAGTTTTGTAATGCCAAGTTGGGGAGTTGCCTTTCCTTGGGTTTTCTGGTAGGGTTGAAAGTCTCAGCAGCCGAGGTTTGGAGACCAGTAATTGGGAGAGTGGAGAAGAGATTGGAGGGTTGGAAAGCAAGAATTGCACTAGTTAGAAGTGTGATAACTAGTTTACTGACTTATTATCTATCTATGCTGAAGATTCCAAGGAAGATTGTGGAAAGAATTGAGAAACTTCAGAGGGATTTTTTGTGGGAAGGTACTGGGGGAGAAAAGAAGTTTCATCTGGTGAGGTGGGACAAGGTGTGTAGGACAAAAAGAAGTGGTGGCTTGGGTATTAGGAGGGTCAAAATCTTCAACAAGGCTCTCTTGGGTAAGTGGTTATGGAGGTTTGGGCTAGAGAGGGAGAGGGAGTCTCTGTGGAGGAGGTTTGTAGTTGGGAAGTATGGGCTAGTGAGGTTTGGGTGGGAGTCAAGGGTGGTTTCCAGATCGTACGGGGTGAGTGTTTGTTTGGAAAGGGATATTGCGGTTCAATAAGAATTCAAAGCTGCAGTCAGGTTCAAATTGGGGGATGGGTCAAGGATAAGATTTTGGGAGGATGAATGGTGTGATGTGGGGATGTTGTAGGGAAGTTATGTGAGGAATGCCCAAAGTTGTACAGGTTGACTGAGCATCACATAACAGTTGATAGGTGCTTCGAAATGAGGGGGAGATCAGATTCTTTGGTGCCCCAAATTCAGAAGACCATTGTTGGATCAGGAATTGGAGGATTGCATTCAGCTACTGGGAAAATTACAGGAGGTTGAGGTATCACCCTCCTTGAGGGATGGACTGTGGTGGAAAGAGTGCAGGAATGGGGTATTCAATGTGAAATCATTCTACTTGGCGATGGTGAAGAAACATCTGGTTTCAAATCAGGTAGGGGGAGTTTGGGGGAACCCTGTTCCACCTAGAGTGGAATCTTTTGATTGGTTGGTGGCCTTGGATAGTGTTCTAAACAGCTGACCACCTAAAACGTAGGTGTTTCTCCTTGACAAGTGTTTGTGTTTTGTGCTACTCGGATGAAGAGACTGTTTCCCATTTATTCTTCTCTTGTAAGGTTGCACAAACCATTTGGAAACTCTACACCTCTCTTTTCGGGCAAAGAGTGTTTCAGCCAAGGTCTACAGCAGAAATATTTTCTTCCTGGCCATGTTTTGAAGGAAGCAGGAAAGCAAGGATAGTTAGGAGCTGCATCCCCTTTGGTGTATGTTGGCTCCTGTGGAATGAAAGAAATAGAATCGAAGAAAAAGCTAAAAGCTCTGAAACTCTGGTGGCTATGGTGGGAAAGCTAGTGGAAGATTGGGTTAGGGTGCTCCCAGTTTTTGATTAAGTCAGTAGATCAGATTTGGGGGAGAGTTTTTGGAGTGTGTTGGAAATTCAACATGTGTAATCAGTTCTCAATTTCTGGTTCAGTTTATGTATTCTAGACAAGAGTTTCTTTTTTGCTTTGTATTGTTAAGTGCCATCTTGGCACCTATTGGATCTGGATTGTATCTATTTTTTTTATTTAATTAATTTTCTTATTATTTAAAAAAATATATTTATTATTAACCTACAAGGCTAACACTACAGTACAGAATACAGACCTACAGTATACCTCACCTAGTATATGTGCAGGTCTGGGCCCCAGGCTGGGTGGTGCTGATAATGTAATATTTGACATGTAATAGTTGTCAGTAAACTTGTTTTCTTGCTGTATTTCAATAAGTAATATGTTTCAATAGTTTTCAGGGAGAAGGAAGAGCATTTTGTGCTGGTGGTGATGTTGCAGCTGTGGCTAGGGATATTAATGAAGGTAAAAATTCGTGTTTGACTAGATAGGATTTTCTCTTATTTCTAGGGGTTGTTATTGACATGTGATACAATACTTGGTTATGGTATATGTGATTCATTTTAGATTGTTGTTTTTCTTTCTTTTACTTTCAATTTGTACCATGGTTCCAATCAATCACCCCTTATTGAAAAGGCTAGATTTTTTCTGGAGTATGAAATATCTAGCTACCAAAAAAGAGCTGATATTACTTCATAATTAATTTACATTCTCAGGTAATTGGAAATTAGGTGCAAAGTTTTTCTGGAATGAGTTTACATTAAATTACATTATGGCGACATACAGAAAGGCCCAGGTGATTCTCTTTTGCAATTTTTTTTGGATTAATTTTCCTCCTCAGTTCCATACAATTTTCTTATTAGGAGGTTCTTTGTTGAGTAAATTTCAGATTTTTATATGGAAATGATATTCAGTCCTGTAATAATTAATAAATGATTAAACCTGATTGAAGGTTTCAATTCTTAATGGAATTGTCTTTGGTGGTGGGGCTGGAGCTTCCATACATGGTAGATTTCGTGTTGCCACAGAGAATTCGGTACTTCTCCTCCTCAATTTCATATTTTCTTTATCTAAACTCTCAAATGTCATCTGACCTGTTAAAAACGAATTTTAGAAATGCCATTTACTGTCCAAGTCCCCAATGAAAACTTGGTGGAAACATACACATATACATAGACATATATGATGTGAGGAGGTATTTTTGAGGTTACCGGTAATATTAGTGATTTTCTTCAGAAATATGATTGAATATGTTTCTAACTTATTGCACTCTGTGCTATCCTTGGTGGAGCATTTCCTAGTTTAGTTTTATTGTAAGCATACTAACAGCAGCATTTCCTGGTTACACATATAAATATTGTATGACAAACCAACCACTCCTTTGTTGATTCAACAATATTATATTTCTTCATTTTTTTGTGTTTTTAAATGATTTTGTATATTCCTTTGTTTGGTGCTGATCTAAGTGTACAGGTTTTATTCCATGACCTGATTAAAAGCAGAAATTTGGTAAGAGAAGATGCACTTTATTCGCATTGAATCAAAATTGCATAATTTTATACATAGAAAGGTGTATCACTATTTAAGTGAAGTCAAACAATTGCCCTCAAAATTAGGTGGAGAGAATGAATAAGGATGTCTATATCTTTATAGGCTTCTAAGTTCTGTTTGTGGGTCTCTTCTAATGATGTCTTTAGAAGCTCTAGAAACATTTTTAAAGATGACCCCATGTGCCTAAATTTTTGTTGGAATCATTAAATAGATTAATCTAGAGTTCATTAAAGAGTTTTTAATGGAACCTCCTATTCTAATATGATTTTATCTTCTTAACATAAATCATGAGCAATTGGGATGATTTGATCGGCACCTTGCCATATGCTTTGAGGTGGTTAGCTCTGCATATTATGGTTACGAGGAGTTTTTTGATATTGGATAGGGCTGCAACTTGGGCCAGGTTTGCCTGAATCCAACCCAAAAAAGTTTGGTTTGAAGTTCAGGTTAGGGTTAGGATTGAGGCCTTGGGCAACTTGAATCTGACTTGTCTTGACACTTGTATTTATAAATATCATAAATATGTACACATGTATGTAAGTGTGCAACTATGCATCCATGAATGTATGTATGTATGCACATTTGCAGAAGGTAAGGATAATTTCCTTTCAGTTTGTGGACAATGGGTAGAATGCTGAAGTGCTTGCCAAGGCAACTCGAGCTACCCCTTGGAAGGCTATCCATGCCATTCTTTCGAGCTTCCTTCCTTGTATTGGGTATTATGTTTTTTTGGTAATCATGTAAAACTTTGGGAACATTTTTTGGTAGGACAATCACATTTGAAGGATCAATTTCGATCACTTTATGCTTTGTCTTCCTTCGAAGGGGAATTTGTGTCAATGTTCATTGCCCCTTCAACTTCGCATTCTGGTTTTGATTGGGACTTGGGGCTTCATTGAGTTATTAGGAAGTCTGAATTTCCAAATGTGCTTAGATTCCTTCAAATTCTTGATGGGTTGTTTTTGAAACCCCTCAAACTTGACTCTAGGATTTGGACTCCATCCTCTTGCTCTTTTTCTTGTTCAACAACAGCTTGTAACTCCATGTTCTTTCCCTATGAAAGAGATTTGGTGTGGACTGATCCCTTCGAGAGTTGGTGCTTTTTGTTGGGAGGCATTCCATGAGAAAACTAACACTTATGACCTACAAAAAAGAAGACCTAATCATTGCCTTTCTCATTCTTGGTGTTTACTTTCCAAAACTAATGATGAGACGTGCTATCACTTGTTAATCTCCTACCCTTTTGTTTCTTATATTTAGAATTGGCTTCTTTTTCTTTTTGGTTGTAGGTGGTTGAATCCTTCTAGCATGTCAGATCTCTTCGCACCTTCTGTTTTCAAGTGGCTAAAGAAAAGGCAGAGGATTCTGTGGAAATGTACTAGAGCAGCAATTTTATGGACAGTTTGGGAGGAAAGAAATGCTTGAATTTTCAAAGGAAAAGAACTCTAAAAGCAGTAATATATTGCATTGTTATTAGAGTGGCTCATTGAGCCAAGTCCTTGGAAAGCTTTTCAACTTTCTTGGTAGATGGCATTATGAATGTTAGAATCGACAGTACAAGGGTAGTTTGGTCATTTTTCTATTTAATTAAGGATGAATTGTCTATTTTGTTTGGGTTTAAGTTGTGTGTCCCATTCTTAATGAGTGACATATTTGTTTTTTGTAGTCTAATGCCTAGAGTATAAATACAAGGTGGGTCGGCTGAGAGGGTGAGACTTTTCCTCTTCTTAGATAAATCCTTTCTTCCTCTATTCTTCTTCTTCTTCTTCTTCTTCTTCTTCTTCTTTCTTTCTTTCTTTCTTACTTACTTACTTGTCTTAGATCTAGGATTGAAGTAGTGTCAGTGTGATTAGTCAGTTTATACATGCCCCAAGAGACACACATATGGCTGTTGCAGAACGGGTTTTGTGTTACTGGAATGGAACTTTGGGAAAGGGTGTCCTCTTCTCTAGGCATGGACACATGAAGCTAGAGGCTTATGCAGATGCCGACTAGGCTGGTAGTATTGATGATAGGAGATCTACATCGGGTTATTGTGCTCTGGTTGTGGGGAACATTGTCTCTTGGAGAAGAAACTATTGGTAATAGCCAGATCTTCAGCTGAGGCAGAGTACAAGGCAATGGAATATGGATTTTCAGAGTTGTTATGGCTCAGGTCACTTCTAGAGGAGATGGGTATTGAATATGATAAGCCCTTAATGTTATACTGTGATAACCAGGCTGCAATTAACATAGTTCACAATCCAATTCAGCATGATAGGACAAAGCATATTGAAGTAGACTGGCATTTTATAAGAGAAAGGCTGTCTTTTGGAGAAGTTTGTCTTCCTTTCATTGCTTCAAAGCAACAGTTAGCAAATGTTTTGACCAAGGGTGTCCCTAAGGCAAAGTTACAACACTATGTAAGCAAGCTGGGCATGATTGATATCTATGCTCAACTTGGAGGGGGGAGTGTAGAGATGATGGGCTGAATGGGCCTTAGTTTTTTTCTTTTATTTAGTTATGTTTATGAGTATTGGGCCTGTTTTCTTCTTTTTTATTATTGTTTTTAGTGCTGGCTGCCCTACTAAAGGTATTCATGTAATTGTGCTCACATACAATTAAAGAATAAAAGATAACTTTGGGAGATATGAGAGAGGTTCAAACTACTCTCTTCCTTCTTCCCTTTCCTTCCTCTTATCTTATATTTTCTATTTTATTTCAGATTATTGCAGGTGCAATCTACAACTCCTCCCATGGAAACAAAGTTAAATTTTGGGAAGATCTTTGGTGGGGGAGGGGGGATAAACCTTTGAAATACTGTTTTCCTACTATTTATTCCATTTTCAACTTCAAGCATAAACCCAACCCTTTTTTGTCTTTTACCTTGGACAGGGACATTCTTAGAATCTAGGCATAAGGATTGGCATTGGGGATTTTGAGTATACACATATTTCTCTTGGATGGTGTTCATTCTTGATTGGCTCCCATGTGTCGTCTGCCTTGGGCTTTTTTTCTTGTGCGTCTTTTTAAGTCCCCTAGCTACTGGCCCCTCCTCACAGGTTTTTCCAGCCAAGCTCATTCAGCTAGGGCCTGTCCAACTCAAAATTAGGGCCTTTGTTGGGAAGTATACCATTTAAAGATCAACTCTTATGAATTATTGCAAGAAAGGAGGCCTAACTGGTACATTTCGCTACACAAATGTTCTCTTTTTGATGCAAGTGAGGAATCTACTAACCTCTTGCAATTTTGCTTTCAACATTTGGAAGTGTTTCTTTTCTTGTTTTGTGGCTGAAGGTGGTCGTCCCTGCAGAGACAGAGAAACTATTTTCAAACATTCATTTATCAATTGAAGAAGAGAGGAAAAATTGTGTGGTGGTGCATTATGGTAACTATTCTTTGGTTTCTTTGGGAAGAAGGGAATGCTTAATTTTGATGGTGTACTATTGGAAATCAAGGACTGTTAGGAATAGGGGGAATTCTTAGGGATAGTTCAGGTTCATTGATCTTTACTCAGGGCCAATAGGTAGGCTGAACTATATGCTGTCCTCCAAGGACTAAAGATATTTTAAAGACTGAGCCTGCATATCATAGTGGTAGAAGGTGGCTCCGAAACAGTTATAGGATGGTTAAAGAATGAAACTTAAGGAACCTAGCAGCATTTTGCATAATCTGAGACAAACTAAACAAGTTGTTCCAGATCTAGGAGTTACATGGTTATGGACTGGTAGAGCAGCCAATGTAGTGGCTGATGCACTTGCTAGACAAGGGGTCACCAGGGAACAGTTGTAATGGGGAGTTACTACCTAGCTTCAAATGGTCAAGAACAGATATGGGGTTAGGTAGCATCTGCTAGCCTAAGTGAGTCCTTTCATTTTAAGTATTGTTCTTTTCTCAAATCAACAAAATTTTTAGTGTTACCATTAAGAAAGTTGTTATTTCTAAGGTGTTGGCTAATAGGTCAAGAAGGGTGTTTTTGTATATCATCTCTCCTCATTAAGGGGCTTTTATTGATGGCTGACAGATTCTTGATTGACCTCTTATGGCTAAAAAGTGTGGTTGAAGTGGTTCTCAATTCAAATGTTTACTGAAGAATACATGTCAAGGAGTTATTCGATGCAACTTGAAGCATTTTAAAAGGGAAAGGGATAGCTGAATCGGGGAACCAGGGTTTCTACAGTGATTAAAGATTTCAATGTTCATGTTTTTAGCAAGAGATATGATCTTTACCTAAAGTGCAATGGAGGAACATTATTTGTGCTGTTGATACCACTTAGGTGAATGAGGGAGCCAGTGTCTGATGATGAGGAAACTTAGTTTATGAAGAGAAGAGAGTTGATGTAATACAAAACATTACTTGGTATCTGCAATTGTGCATGTTTAGTTAAAATAGAAAGGAATTATGAACTGTAATTTCAATCAAGAAGTGTAAAGTAGTGAAGCTTTTGAGAAAGAAAAAATTGGTTTTCAATGTCTAGGAGGGAAGAAGAATTGGAGGCTGTGAGCTGCAGTCACTCTGGTAAAGGAAAGGTAGGGTGTGAAGTGGGATAAGAAGACTAGTTATTCCAATAAGTGTTTTCGGTTATGCTCTGAAATTGTCATGGGCCATGGTGCTTCTTGTAGCTTGATGGAACTGAAGCTGGGTTAGGTTTGATGGTGTTGGAGTGCATGTGTAGATTTTGGGTCTTAAGAATGTATCTGTATTTTGAGATTAGATAGTTCATTCATCTATTTTTTTTTCCAGTTCTTTTTGTCTATGAAGAAATTATTTTTCCTCTTCTGTCTCTAAATTTTATTTCATATTTTAATATCCTCTTTTCCATCAAGAGAAAGGGAAAGCCCTTAGGTATTTTCCTTCAAATCACACATAAATGTAACATGATAAGGAAGAAATGTATGGGAGTGCTTTTCTAAATTGAGGCTATGAATGCAAATACGAGGCTCTTTGATTTGATTTAGCTGATTAGCCATCGAATTTATTTCATTTTTTTCAGCAGTTGATATATGGATGGATTCATTATAATCTATACTACTCATACGCTCTTATGGATATTTTATTAGATCTTCTATGGTTTTGAGTATTATCTTTTCCTATTTGCATACCATTCTGGATTCATATCCTAATAGTATAAGGTTATTTAGTTTGCCTACTTATTATAAATAATGAAGACAAGCATGTGCTACCAGTTGTTTTTTTAAGATACTTTTTTTTCTCTCAAAGATTACAAGATTACAATGCTAAAATACGGTGATCAGACTTTCATCTTATGTGTCCTCTTGCAATTGACTTTTCGCAGGTCTTTGCCATGCCAGAAACAGCACTAGGACTATTTCCAGATGTAGGAGCTTCTTATTTCTTATCTAGACTCCCTGGCTTCTTTGGTAGAGCTCATTTACCCCTACTTCACTCATATATGGTTTTTGAATGGCTATTATCCAATTATTCTTTTAATAAATCAGAGTTTGTTGCTTTCTATGACAACATATGGTTCTCTAGTTCAGTCCCTGTTAAGTAGAGTTTATCCATTTTAATTACCTGGACTTGACTACTAACACAAATAAATTTATGGTTCAAATGCAAATAAAGGGGCAAAGTTATAGAGTCCTTCTCTAGTTAGAAGCAATAGTGGGTAATCAACTCTAGTTATTATTAACTTAAACAAAATCTCAAAGTTGTGGTACCCATGTCTTTTTGTGTTTTATGTAAGGAGTTCAATTCAAGGTTTTATTACTTTTTGTGTTGTAGGAGAATGACTTGAAAAAGCCAAAATAAAGCACCAATTTGGTTGCTTGGATATTTAACCCAAGACCGGGGGGGGGGGGGAATTGGGTAAACCCTTTCTTTCCTTTATTTTTGGATTCACTAAATGGGGATGTTCCCTAAATGTTCACCTCACTCAAAAACTCACACTTTAAGAGTTCGTGCAATTGTTGAACCTTTCCTTTGAATAGCCAACAAGACAGATGATTTAATCAATCAATGCACACAAGTGAATAGGTATAGATCAGTTAAATAATTAATTTCTAACTAAATATTCAAATATGAGTTTTCTGTAAATGCTTTGTATCCAAGTAGAAATAAATGCTTCAATCCTTAAGCATTGATTGTAGTAGCAGAGTCCCAAGGTTGCTCTATTACTTGTTGGCCAATGAGGTAGGTTTGTCTCTAGGAGATTATCCGAAGAAAAGCGTGTTTTGGATTGTAGAGAATTGTACTAAGAGGTTGGCATCTTGGAAAAGATTATATGTATCTTGGGGGAGGTATCACCTTTATAAAATTCACCTTAGCAAAATTTCCAATTTATTACCTATCAATCTTTAAGATGCCATAGAGGGAAGTGCAAAAAGTAGAAAAATTGATGAGAGATTTCTTATAGGAGTTTGGGGAAGGATTGAAGGACCACTTGATAAATGTGATTTAGTGTGTAAGAGCAAAGAACAAGGGGGCCTAGGTGGCTAGATATTGTAATCTAGGGAAGAAGAATTTATCCTTACTACGTAAATGGCTTTGGAGATGGTTTTTTGGAGAGGGAAGACTGTGGCAAGAGGTAGTTGGTAGTATTCATGGAAGTGCAGGCAATGGCTAGGATGCTGGGGTATCTTCGAGGGCTACTATGGCTTCTCCTTGGAAGGCCATTTGTGGTGTGCTTCTTCAGTTTCTAAGCCTTATTGGGTATGCTGTTTGCTTTGGAGATAAAGTTCTCTTTTGGGAGGACCTTTGGATTGGCAATTCAACCCTTAAAGATCTCTTATCTTCCTTGTACTCCCTTTCTTTGTTCGAAAAAGAACCTGTACATTGCTTTGTGTCATCTTCCTTGTTGACCTGGTTCAGTTGGAATTTGGGCCTAAGGAGGGATTTGAGAGACCATGAGTTTGATAGGGCAGCCTCACTCCTACAAGTTCTTGATTCTATTTTTCTGGACTTTTCTAAGCTAGATGGTTGTATTTGGACTCCTCATCCTAAGGGAGTGTTTTCATGTTCCTCTTTCTTCTCTTCTTTGTATTAAACTCCTATCCATGCCTTGTCATGTGAAAGAAATTTGGTCCAAATCCATTCCTCCCAAGGTTGGTGCTTTTTGTAGGAAGGTCTTTCATGGTAAAATCAACATTTTGGATGCTCTGCAAAAAAGAGGACCTTATTTGTGTTTCTCCCCAAATTGGTGTACCTTAGCAAAGAAAATAGAGAAAATTTTTACCACCTTCTAATCTCTTGCCCTTTTGTTGTGGTATTTGGGAAAAGATTTTTGGTCTTTTTGGTAACAAGTGGAATGTGTCCCTACAGATTAAAAGCCTTTTTGACCCTACGACCTTCAGTTGGCCGAAGAGGAGATGTAAAGTTATGTAGAGATGTGCTCAGGTTGCCTTGATTTGGATGCTATGGGAAGAGAGGAATAACAGAATCATCGATGTTAAGGAGAGGAGTGAGGGTACTGTGGGTATGTATAGTAAATAGGGCTATACATTGGGCTAAATCTTTAGACCTATTTTCAGAATTTTTATTTGATGATATTTGGAGAAATTGGGAAGCTGTAGCAAGAAAGTTCTATGGTTAGGGACAAACTAGTTGCAGCTTGGAAACCCCTGGAAGAAGGTTTTGTCAAGCTAAATTTCAATGGTAGCAGTCTAAGAAACCTAGGGCTGGCTGTTATAGGAGTGTGTGTGTTTGTGCTTTGTATCAAACCAATAGCAATAATAAACCTAAAGGAAAGAGAGAGAGCACAAGAGACAACTGATTTATAGTGGTTCGGTCAATCTGACCTACATCCACTCAAAGCACTTCTTTGAGAATTTTCACTATTTCAACTAGTTTCACAGGTACCAACCAAACCTTTACACCATGCCTCCACCCAAGGTTTGAAATGTCGATGTCGGTGGAAATGTTGGTCATCCAAATATAAGAAACATGTCGGAAATATTGTAAAAATTATAGAATGGTATTTTATGAAATGATAAAAGAAGCATAGGAATTAGGGACACCTTTTAAAATTATTATCTTATTCTAAATCATTAAAAAATGCTAAGAAACTAAGGTTATAGACAAAAGAATATGTTCTAAAGTTGCCCTATAAACCTTAAGATTTAGAGTTTCATAATAGAATGAGTTAAAGCAAAATTTAAAATGTAAATGGTTCTAATAGATTAACTAAATAATCTATTACACAAACAAAAAACTAATATTTAACTTCATATTTGAAATGAATATTGAGTTAGCTCAAAGTGGTAATCATATAAGTTAGGTGGACAATGACTTTCCACTTCACATACCTACAATATTGTCACCAACTTATGTTATAATACTGTCTCTTGTACTCTACATAGTATTGGTAGTGTTCAATGTGGAATATGTCAATTCCAGTAAAATTTCATGTTACTACCCATGGAAGTGGAAATGGAAGTATGTCGTGGAAACTATTCTTGTACTCCACATAGTGTTGGTAGTGTTCATTGAGGAAATGCTGATTCCAGTAAAATTTCGTGTCGCTACCCATGGAAATGGAAATATGTCGTGGAAATGTTAGGGAAATTAGGGACATTTTAAACCATGCCTCCACTCTTTCTACACAAAGACTAGATGCAACCACCACTTTGCAGACTTCACTTAATGAGTTGCCACCACTGCTCTGTCGTCTTTACTCAATGACTTATAGCCAACTAGTTTCCTAGGTACTAGCTAAATCTTCACTGCTGCTTTTCCCTTCACTTGAACTCATAGCCACTGCTTTGCTCCTTTCTGTACAAGTACTTGCAGCAACCTCAGCTAGAAATACAGTGCTAGCCACACTGACAAGAACCACCTGCTCTTGAATTCTTGATTTCCTCACTCTTAAACCTCAAGAATGTTTACAAAGAAATACAATGTTCCTTGATGAACAGGTATGCAAAATACAACTCAAACTAGATAAAGCTCTATTAATGAAATGCTTCCTGTTATTTAAAAAATGCTTTTGCAAGAATGAGGGCTCAATGATTTTCTAGATAAAGCTCCATTCCTCTCTTACTAATTCTCAAGGATTCAATGACATTCTAGATGAAGTTCTTCCTCTTTTCTCTCTTTCTTTGGCCTTTTTCAAATTTCAAATTGATTTTCCAGTCAATCTTTCTTTTTCTTCTTTTTGATTTGAAAGTTTAGGCTCCAAGAAGATGTTTCCTATTTGATTCAAATGAGTTTGGATTCGGAGCAAAAGTCTAGGCATTAAATGCCCTTTTTGACTGTTTAAAAATTGTTGAAAGTAGAGTCTCGCTTTGGGGATGGACCCAAATAACTAGAGGATGACCCCATAATCCCAACTCTATAAAACCTGCAAAATCAACTTACTCCCAAAATTATCCATGCTAAATTTTTAGAATACCAATTATATCCTTTTACAAAAGCAATTTTACAAAGGTACTTATAAAAGTAATTTTATGAAAAGTACTTTTACAAAAGTAAATATTTTTACAAAAGCACTTTTAGGAAAGTACTTTTACGAAAGCATTTTTACAAAAGTACTTTTACGAAAGCACTTTTATGAAAGTACTTTTACGGAAGTACTTTTACAAAAGTAATTTTACGAAAGTACTTTTATAAGAGCACTTTTAGGAAAGCACTTTTATGAAAGCACTTCTACAAAAGCACTTTTATGAAAGCACTTTTATAAAAGCACTTTTGCAGTACTTTTATAAAAGCACTTTTATGAAAGTGCTTTCATAAAAGTGCTCTTGTGGAAGTACTTTTATAAAAGTAATTTTATGGAAGTACTTTTCATAAGTGCTTATTGGACAAAAGAGTCAATTGCTTATTTTAAGTGCTTATTGGAGAAAAAGACCACCAAACGTCCAAGATGAAATAAGTGCTTATTTTTTAATATAAGCACTTGAAAAAGCTGAGTGCCAAATGCAAATAAGTGCTTATTCGAATAAGCACTTGTTTTTAACATAAGCACTTCCAAACATGGCCTTACTGGGCATGCTTCTAGGCATCTTGGGTTGCCAAATTGCTTTCTGGGATGCCTCCAAATTTCCTGGGGATGTCTCTAGGCATCCTGGCTTGCTAATTTGCTTGTTGGGCATGTCTCCAAATCTTTAGGGGACGTCTCCAAACTCTAAGAAGTTTACCAGTTCAGTCCAAGGTACTTTTGGGATGACTCCATTATAAATTGGGGATGACCCCTGTTTACAACCCAGAAATGGGTTGCCAAATTGCTTTCTGGGATGCCTCCAAATTTCCTGGGGATGTCTCTAGGCATCCTGGCTTGCTAAGTTGCTTGTTGGGCATGTCTCCAAATTTTTAGGGTCCGTCTCCAAACTTTAAGAAGTTTACCAGTTCAGTCCAAGGTACTTTTGGGATGACTCCATCATAAATTGGGGATGACCCCTGTTTACAACCCAGAAAAATTTCTCAA